GTGCGTAGATAAAATTTAATTCAACACTTGTTTGTGATGTTTCTTCTCTCTTTGAACTAGGCCTAGCCTAGGCCTATTTGTCAACTTATTTTCTGGAGGATTTCGTCCCGAATTTTGTACTTATTAAATATTTATAAAATATTGAACACGAATTAACAGCCCAAAATGGGAGTTGAATTTTTGCATAATTATGTACAAAGCTGAGAAAACCGATAGTAAATTATGGCCTAGTCATACCCGGCGCTGAATTGTGTTGTGGCCTAAAAAACATAGGCCTCGTCTAGGCTTATTATTAGAAGTCAATAAGTCGGGTCAAAAGGAAGGTAGGCTTAACTTTCGAGAACCAAGTCTTACTTTATTCTGATCTGGCCATGTACCATTAATAAACAGTACATGAACATCCTGTAACAACTGTAACTGTTTATAACAAATATTCAAAATCTTGTTATGTAGGTTAAACTTTGTTACCCCTGTTGTTTATCCTGACTCCACGCATGTCTACCGCGAGGCTAACGTTCTACGTGGCAACGCAATGCAGCGTCCGCGCCACGACCACGACAGTCATGCGTGGTACGAATTCAGTAATTGTGGGCTGTGCAGTATACCAACCAACTGAAGTTTGAGGAATGTTGTGGTATCACTGCCTCATACCGATCTGAGGTTCTGACCATTTGTTTGATCATTTCCCTCTAATTAAAAAGTTATTATGAAAATAATATAATTATATATGTTATATAATATAATAAATATAATAATGTAATTCTGATATAAGTAGATATAAAGTGCATAATAATCGTATTGTATCCATTTGATGTTTTTTGGATACCTTTTATTGTTTCCAATGTCCTTTATTTTTATGTATTTGCAGCAAGCAAAAAGAATAATAAAGCCTTCTTGACTTGTAATTGTATCTTGTACCTTGTAATTTGCAAGGTTTCCTTTCATCTGCCAATTCACCCTGTAAGAATTGCTTTCTCTGAATAGTGTTTGGTATGCATGACTCATGCGTAGAGAGAACGGATACTGCTTTCTGTTTCAGACACCACGGATCTTAACAGGAATATTACGGTAATAACACTAATTCTAAGATGGAACACTGCCTTACCACATTATTACCGTTGACACTATTGGTTCTGACCCTTTTTTCACACAGTAGACAACGTTGGAAATATTTTCGCAAATTTGTCTGAAAGGCTCAATTGTGTTATTACCGTTGACACTATTGGTTGTGTAGGGAGGTGTGTTTTTAACCCATTGACACCCAGGCCCGCACTGGAGTCCCTAGTGACGATCATAATTATATAATTAATTTTTTTTTAAAGAAAAAAATTGTATGTGCAGTATAGTGTGCATGTAAGTTTACAAAATATGTGAGAAAATATTTAAATTTTTAATTTCTAAAATATAAGGCAAGATATCCATACTGGTTATTTTTTACACAATATTACCTGTATTTAAATTTTAATCTATTATTAAAGGTTTTTTCTGTTATAAATATGTACATATTACTTTTTCATTTGCATTTAAAATCAAAATGTGCATTTAATATGAATATTTTAAAAAGTTGCTGATTAGTCAACGTATTTGGAATGATAGACACATAAAAATGAGTTTATTGACTTCTAAAACTCTGTCAGATGGAGCGAACAGTACAGTCAATAGCAAATACGGTTAACAGTTAGTATAGATCTTTATAAATTCATTAGCAAGTGTCCAACGGAAGTCCAATCGAATTGAAATATGCTTGCTGCATTAGTGATGTGAGCAGACATTGAATTTTTATAACTGAAAGATTTTGCGAGATTAAGTGAATCAAATGGTCAGTTTCGCAGAAATCTGATTGATTTATTGCAACTAATAGTAAAAAAAAAAAAGAAATTTATCAATGCAAGGAATAGAATTATTTAATCCGAAGCAAAATGCAAAGATTTGATTTTTCTATTAAGCAAAGAAATATTTTCTTAAATATTTTTTTATTTATTTCACTATATCAAACATCAATATGTAGCCAGTGACTGAAATGATTGCATTTAAAAAATATTTCATAAGTTCATCAATTAATTTTTTTTCAATACAACAATTTCTATTAAAAATTACAATGGATTGCATGTAGAATTGTACAAAAAGAAATGTTTTATGATTACTCTGGTTTGAGTGATACTGTATATCATGCGATTTAATGTGTTTAGTGGCTTGCAATATTGTGTATTTCAATTGATCTCTTAGGCAAGACTTTTTTTTATACCTTTTAGCAAACCCATCAACTCCAAATATTGATGATTTTGAATAAAAATAAAATTTTATTTTTGCACAATTAGCGCACCTGCCACCAAGAAAAAGTGGAATTTTCAGAAAAAAATAAAAGTTTTTCTTTATTTTTATTCCGCCCTCCGCTGCCTTGGAATTGCCAAAGATAAAATATGTATATTTCTTCCTACTTATATAAATTTGAAGCATTTAACCATCCTCTTTTACATTTACCAATAAAATTTTATTTTTTCTTCCATCTGGATGATTTTATCAAACTATTTGCTAAATAAGAAAACAAAACTTTATTTTTATTTTTATTCTGCCCTCCTCCGATAATCTTTAAAAAAATAAGTACGCGAAACAAGGAATAAAAAGAAGTCTCGCCTTATTATAGCATAAGATGTTTAAAGTGAGGAATTTGTAGTTTATCCTTAATTCAGTTCTTGAATTTTCTCTTAAATCATGTGTAGCTCAAATCCATTTTGTGGTGTTTCCTCTTTTGCGATAGTCTATAATAATGGTCTGATGATGCTTTAGATACATTTGGTGCCTTGCACGAGGGAGGCCCAAGTTAGAGAAGGGAAGGGCCGAATCCCCCGAAACCTGCCCGTGTAGACAAGTTGTATAAATTATGTTGTTCTCAATGGGGTTTTTTCTTATAACTTGAGTTGATCAACTAAACCCAAGTAACTTTTAAAGTGATGATCCAGAGGAAATTCAAGATTGAGTTTCGACCCAGTGACCTCTTATGCACTGAGATGTACAATAACTTATATTATCATTTTTATCAATGTTTGTTGACTAATTTGCTATAAATTTTGCTGCTTGGCCCAGCTAAACCACCAACCACACTGTATGTTGAACTGTCAGCCTATAGTGACATGGAAGATTAGGTCGGTCTATTCATGGAACGATTTCCTTAGCCTATTATGAATCGATATTTATTATTTTGTCTTGCATTAACATTTAATTGATTCTTCAACGATCGATTTCTATAAATGTTTATTGAACACTTTATTGAACGCAAAATTAAGCTTAGATATTGGTAGGCATGGCCTATTTTTAAACTTGAGGGTGCTATTCTTACGAACTTCTCATTTACGAATTTTCTCAATTACGAACTGCTTTCAGCCCAAGGTGTACGTAAATGGGAAGGTCTACTGTACAGGCTTTGGAATATGTACGTGTATTTACATTAGATTCTGTCTTGGTTTCAGTTGTCCTCCTTTACTATGACCTTGAAGATCATTCTTTCTACATTATTCTATGGAAAAAAAAAAGAATAATTATCTTTTTTTCCATTATAAAGTGTGATTGACATTCCATTAGTTTACTGTATAGTTTCAACAATTTTTAGATTATTACATTTTGTTATTTTTGGTTGAATGCCAGTGTTTACTCTTAGTATAATTTGTAAATTTGTTTAGCTTCTTACGTGATTACATCCATTTCAGTAGATCTCAATTTCTTTCAGGATCAATACATTTGTTACTTTATAATGCAATACATGCTCTTGTCATTTATCTATTCCTTAGTATTTTTACAATGTTCATTCAGTCTCTAAAAACAACTATACATTAATATTCTCTTTGTATTATACTATATTAATAATATTATTTTACATAATTTTAATATATTATTTTACTGTCATTAATTCCTTTCAAATTATACATCAGTCCACCATTTGTTAATTAAGGTTTCTAATCAGATATTTTTTTTCAGTAAAACCATTTTGGTTTTTCAGCAGCTGTAACAAAATTTTGGATAGTATCTTGAAATGTATTTAGCAATAATGTTTTCTTGTATAAGAAAATATAGTAGAACCCTTAATAATGGGACACATTTGGTACCATAAAAGTGTCCCCTGAATAGAGGTATCCCCTTAGTAGTGGTGTCTGAGTAGGGATTGAAAAAAAATATACTTTTCTTTGGTTTTTGGCCAAAAAGTGTCCCCTTAAAAGGGATGTCCTATAGTAAGTGGACTTTACTCTCCAAGCATTGTAATCACTAGGGCTTTTTAATGAATATATTTTAGCATATGGTGAAAATGTTTTGATACTAAGGTGTTTGGAAGCATTCAGTACTGTTATTTGCTGTTGAGTCAGGAAGACATTGTTTATTTTGAATACCATAGCTTTCTACATTCCTAATGACCTATGGTAAGCCTTTCTTCAGTAGGTGGGTATCTTATTTGTGCACACTACAGTCTCGTTCTGGCTTTCCATCTCCATCTCATAGTCTGTATTACTGTATGTACTGTTTGCTTGATAAGCTAAAAAATAATTGTATACTTGTATTGTTTTTTTTCGATTATTATGAATCCCATAGGATTCTGAAAGCCTTATATCAGGTCTAAAGAAAATTGATAGCTAGCTTCTAATGAATAGAGGTTAAACTGACTGTGCAATAATGTTAAAATTGTGCATGGAATATGGTGGAATAATTACATTGTAGGTCATATGATAAATTAACATAATGATTGATGTATTTGTTATCATAATGAAGCCATTTCTACATTATGAGCAAATAAGCTTAAAAAGTCTCTTTATTAAATTTTTTTTTTGGTATAGTAATTGAGTTTCATTTCATGCCAAAGTACTTAAAATACACTTAAAATTAACTTACAGTTTAAAAAAAGTTTTATTTCTCTGTAAATTCTTTGTTATGACATACAACTTGATTATTCTGTTACTAAATAAAGAAAAGTAATTTTTTTTTAATTAAATGTTTTATTTTCTTTCCCTACACAGATACAATGCAATATCTTTAGGACACTTCCACCGAGTGAAAATCCAGAGTTTGACCCAGAAGAAGATGATCCTACCTTAGAAGCTGCTTGGCCTCATTTGCAAGTAAGACACTAAAAACTACATGAAATTTCATCAATTCGTAGGAATTTTCACCATCATTACTCACAAAATTAATAATGTTATGATTTAAAGTCAGGCTCCGGAGGGAACAAAATTGTTGATATGTTGTAGCACTGATTTTTACCCCTTTTTTCCCCCAGTTTTTAAATATTCAAAAATCTGTATCATTCACCGTCCCCAAGTTTTTCGTCAGACAACTTTTTTCTGTTTTAAAAAAATCAGTGCTACAACATATCAATTTTTTTTCCCCTCCGGAGTCTGATTTTAAAAGAAAATGCATTACAATAGTTGAAAATAAGTCAAAAAAAATGTATAAACTTTATAGTTAGTTTTTGTTCCTTCCTTTATTAGGCTAGTTTCCCCATAATCCTACAAACTTTTTTTTTATGATTTGTAACATTTTTGGGATGGGGGAGTGGTTGCGGAGGGGAAGAAGCTCATAATTATTAAAGGATTACAGTAATAGCTTATTGAATCTGAACCATTGTAATAATGACTTGGAATAATTTATGTTATTTTGTTTTCATCTAATATGTCACATCATTTGTAGGCCCTGTTTTGAAATTTCAATATAATTTTTTTCTTGATCCATTTAGATTGTTTATGAATTTTTCCTTCGATTTCTGGAATCACCTGACTTTCAGCCTAGTGCAGCTAAAAGATATATAGATCAGAAGTTTGTTTTGCAGGTAAGGATCATTTTGAAATATAAACACTAATAAAATATTATAAATTGTAAGTTAATAATGTAACTAAGACAAATCTAAAAAATTACAATATAAAATTGATTAAATAAATGGAAAAAAAAAAAACGAAAACAAACTAGAAATGTTAAGTCTTGAGCTCCATCCAGACTATTGATTTTGACATTACTAAATATGGTCATGATGGCAGCACATCATGACTGTATATGGGCATACAACAGTCTGGACAAAGGTTGTGTTATTTTCTTTAGCTTCTCTAATTTTTTGCTGCTATTTTAAAGCATTAACTCCTTTACAACATTTGATTGAGTAAATCTAGAAACTAAATTCTTAAATTTTTCCAGTAATAAAGTGTTGTTGATTAAATATTGGCTCTCTCTCTTACACTTGGGAATTAAATCCTACCAAGGAATTAATGCGATTTATTACACCTGTGAGATGCAATTATTGTTAGATTGATCTAACTAGTAGTGATGTAGTCATTTCGACCAGAACTTTTTACCACAAGCGACAAAGGTTGTTAAAATGTTGGGGTCTCAGACAATGCTGCTCTGCCAGAAAGTTGCAGGTATTTAGTATAAGCAATTATAGAGTAGTCCAAAATGTATTTCATTTTATTGTATTTCATTTATTTCGTCCAAAAAAACATTAAAATTGACAAACACAAGATACAGTGAGCAAGAAACAACACTCATTTGGCCGGACAGGATTGCCAAAAAGTGAACTGAATCACTGTCTAGTGGCTCACCGATGCCAATGAGAACATAAATTAAATTAGCATAAAATATTTAAGTAAAATAGGCCAATCATTAAAATTTAAAAATTTAAAAATATATACAGTATGTACAAAATCATCAGTGAAATGTTTTCAGCATTGTAGCACAGGCCCGGCTATGAGGGTCTAGGGGGCGTGTATGGTACCTCGTAGGGTCAAGGTTAATGTACAAGTAAGGTTTCTGGCTGGGTTTAGTTTATTTTAACCTTGACCTTGATTTTTACATTTGACCCCAAAATTTCATTATTTTTTTGTTTTTGTTTTTTTTTTGTTTTTTTTTTTAAATTAGCTTCATAATCTTCCAAACAGACAACAGTCAGACAGATAAGCAGCAGTGAATACATGCCCTCCTTGGCAGCGGTAATTAACATTATCCAATCTGGAACATTGATAAAGCTGATTGTATAATAATCTAACTAACGATCTGGTTGGCTAGTTATCAGCAACTGAACTCGTATACTGTACAAGCTAAATGTCAGAATAGCATTATCGTGTCATAAGTAATAGATATTCTCCTCCGATGTGATATCTTTCTATCTCTAATCTTAAAACTACTTAATACCCGGATATCTGTTTATTTAGTTATTCAACATTCAGTCTCATGTACCTGAAAATAATTTAAGGCATCAGGCTTTAAAAGCAGGGAATATGTTTGACTTTATTAACCAACATTTTTCACCCTTATTAAAGATACATGTCTGTGTAAAATCTGGAAGCCCTCAAACATTTAATTAACATTGCCCTTTAAAAAGAGGATCAGTATTCACCTTCTGGGATATGTAAATCAAAATAATTTGACAAACAATTTACTATGAATATCCTTTAATATATGTTGGCCAATTTAGAAATGTAAAGGTCTCTGAAGACGATGTACCCGATATTTTATGCTTCAAATTTCACTCTTGGAATATACAATTAGTTATAAACTAGAAATTGCAAATTGCAAGTGAAGTGCTGCAAAGTACAACTGCATATAAATGTTCTTCGAACAAAATTATTTATGCAAGTCAAGTGAAAATTATGAATAATAAAAATATAACAAATAATATGAGACACAACCCATTGTCTATATTAGAACACTTCTCATTGGGTAACAAAGTAGTAATTTTTCATTTTTGTCAAAAAGTGTCTGTAGTGGTGAATTATGGTTTAGGTTTTTTTTAATAAAGTTTCAAAAATTTCTATGTATGTGGAAAATGAAGACTGAAGGGTCACAACAATAGATATGAGACGTTACTCGAGTTGTGCGAGGTATCGGCTGAGATTTGTGGAGTACAATTCAAAAAATAACTATAGGTCTAATAATGAATTATTGTGATGTTACTGTAAATAGACAATGTCAGCTATCAATGTTAGCTAGCGATGTTGTTTTTCATTGGGACCTTCGTCCCTTCAAGGCTAGGCCTATACAATCCTAGCTAGTCTAGGCCTAGAGTAGGATAAGGCTAGCGCGACATGCAGACGTTGGTACGTGTTGGTTAGTCTACAAACGTCGCCTAAAGTAATTGATTTTACCCGGCAGAACAAAAGAAGGAAATTCCGCTTTTCAGTCGTCTTAGGCCCTTGTTTTTTGACAAACAATGACCTTTCAGAGGTCAAATTGCTATCAGGAATATGAATTGGCTGCTTCGCAGCAAAAAAATTTGAGGAGATATTTAGGAACATTTTATAATGATATTGAGGAAAGTTAAAAGTGATATGGACATGGGTGTGATGCCATCATCATCCATATGGACACTTCACACAAATTTGTCACAATATCTCATAGTTTGGACAGAACATTTAAGGTTTTTATGATATATAGTAATAATATATAAATAAGTATACATTTTTAAAGCTAAGTTTTTATAAATATGTTTTATAATCTTGGATATATCTTCGCATTTCATCAATCCTGTCTAGTTGGTTGTATTTTTCATCTCGCACACTCTGTTATGTACATTTCATTTTTTCTTTGCTTTTTGTTCACTTTTTATCTATGACAAAATTATTGAAATCAGTATTCAGTTAAAGCTAATTTAGGTCACTCTGTGAACTTGTAATTAATTTCAAACTCTAATGGTTTATCCTGTTTATTCCTAGAACATTTTAAAAAGATTAAGAATGTTTTGAAAATGGAGGCTAGTTAATTCCTAAACTATGTCAATAGAAAGTGAATCTGAAAGCATTTTATTTTTATTATTTACTATCTGGCAAATTTTCATAAAATAAATTGAAAAGCTCATTAAAAAATGATAAATGAGAAAGAGATAAGAAATTGTTTTCTAAATCATGTGAACTTTCTGTTTTCACAAAAATATAGGAATTAGTGTAATCTACTGTATGTGGCTATTAATTGGCAATATTTTTCTTTTAAATTGATCTTTTGAATGAAACCTGTACAATAAGTAAGAAATTAAAATATTGATATATTATTCAAGTGTAATATCTTAACATATTAAATATTAACAAGAACCAAGGTATTACTTTTATATAATGTATGATCATACTTTTAGTAACTCTGTAATTTACATTTTTTATTGTGCAATGTACTAACTGTCTTATGCATTTTATAGTTACAACTTTGTTCATTAATTGTTTAAATACACTTTTGAAAATTAATGTACAGTATACATCAATGAAAGTCACTTTAGTACAGTAGAACCTCGATTTTACGTACAGTACGGACCGGAGGGCGTATGTAAATCGGGGGATTCGTAAAATAGAGGTTGGGTTAAATTTGTGGTAACCTTTGACCTAATATGTACGTAACGCTCAATATACGTATGTATGAACGAACGATGTTACCTAGCTAGGCTAGACCTTGTCTCTTATACACATCTAGATGTGCCTCTAGGCCTACGAATAAAACCATGTGTTTAGTGTTTTTATTCATCACTTTACGATGTCATAATAAAGTGTTCAAATAAAACCATGTGTCTAGTGTATTAATTCATCACTTTATGTCTTATTTAACTAAAGAACATGAAAATATTGTAAGATTACCTATACGACAAAGGTATAACTTGGGAATTCCCCTTCATGCCTATTCTAAACAACAGAGCTGTGGTGTTGTCTGGGCCTGTTGAGACAAACTAAACCCATGTGCACTGGGCGAGCCAACCAATTAGCGTTCATGTATGTGAAACAGCAAAACCATGTGCACTGGGCGAGCCAACCAATTAGTGTTCGTGTAGAAAATTAGACCAGACAAGTTTTTCCATGGTTTGCCACACGAAGCTAGGGAGGAAAGCAATTATTTTCAGCACCATCGATAGTTGTTCATCTCACTCAGTTCACATGGTTTTAGATTATAACAACCCGGTATTAGACTCAATCAACGTTGCTGTTTAATGAAAATATGTTGCGTTATGGTTTGTTTATTGTTATAGTTTATTATTATTATAGTCTTTTTACTTATGGTTGCTCTGAAAAGGGCTGTTTGTTTTGAATATTTTCGGGGTTTTTGATGACGTCATCGTCGATATGAGGCGTACGTAAAACTGAGGGTTCGTGTAGCTGGGGTACGTAAAAACGAGGTTTTACTGTAGTGCCTATAGTAACTATAAAAAATAAGTAAATAAAAAATAATGAAAATTTTAAAAAAATGTGAAGAAAATGGAATAAATAATAAATTAAAATAAAATTTACAAGCCATTTTCATTCTGTATATTATATATTACCTTAAAATAGAATAACTCTTGGGAAATGTTTAGAATGATTTCATAACATAAAAAAAAATGATTTAGAGTAAGTTTTGCATTTTATCAATTGTTGCAGGAGTATAGTATTATCAATTTTAGCATAATCATCTACAGTATTTTCATATTTTATTTTATTGACAGTGAGAATTTGCATATTTTTCTGTCTCATCCATCACTACCAAGCCTGTTAAACTCAATAGGAAATGATAATGAATAATAATGATAAATAGATCGCTGTTCCAAGAATTGGATGGCAGTCTAATCTAAAAGTCCAGGTTGATAAACATGATTTTAGCTCTGAAAGTTAATATAACATAACATAAGCCATTAAATATTCAAATCTAACCTATCCCATGATAAACCGAGTAACACTGAAGGTTTTGCAATTGTTAAAAATTTTTAGATCAGCTTCAGTTTTTCTGCATTTTTTAAAGAAATTTTTCTGTCTTCTACATTCATCCTTACTATTAAACAGCTTATATAAACAGTTGTAACTCAAATCTAGTAATTAATATAATAAATCTCTGCCTGGTATGAAAGTCTATTTTAGCAGATAAGTAAAATTAATACAGCTTTTAGAGTTGATGGCACAAATTCGCTCATTACTACAGTACTGCATTCAAATTGTGTTCATTAGATGATATTTCCAAGAACCGGCTAATCTAAGCAAAAGTGTGTTCAGGTTTTACAGCAGCCTAATTAGCTCCAGCTTTTTTTCAACAATGAAATTAAATATTTAGAAAATATTGTCATTACTGTATATCCAGCATTCTACTCTGGCTATAAAAACAAGGATATGAAAGCACTTCAGATAAATCCATATTTAGTTGCTAACTTTTGTGGATAGTTTTCTTATTAAAATTTGGATATTGTATTTGGCGATAAATATCATGATGTGATCAGGGTGATTGTTCTTTGAAGTATTTTTTATTTTTTTTTTTAGTTTTAGTAATTCTGAATTAAAGTAGGTAAGTTCATAAATTCTGATGATAAAAGTAATTTCATTGCATCCAATAAATTCATAATCATCAGTAGAAATCATTGCTACATATTGCTCAGTTTAGTTTTGAATTTGATATTTTTTGTAGGCCCCTATCATCTTTTTTTGAATACAGATTTGCATTCATGTACACAGTCTTTAGTTCGTTTTGAACTACAGTACTTAATCCTTGGTATGAGTATAACAGGTTTTCCAAGGATATTTTAAACTTTAATTAAGGCAGTTTCAACCTTTACTAATGTACACATTAAATATACAGACACTTTGGCAACAGCTTGAGGTACATATATTTATTAATTTATGGAAGTATCTAATTGACCTTTAAACAATACTAGCTATGCATCTATTATATTACATTTTTTCACTGTTCCATATTATATTAATTTAGGTACTATTATAGAAATTCTTAATTTATTGTGTAAAATACTATATAGTAGTTTAAATTGAAATTAGTTTGTTTAGTCACCACATGTATTTTTCCGTGGGTAAAGAACATGCAGGAGACGAAGTTTTCATAATCGCCATAGGCTGATCTATGAAAGTGAAAATTGGTATATACTGTACGTTGTATTTCTCCATTAATGATATTTGTTTATAAAGCTGTAACCCAAAAATTTGTCATATTAAACAAATAAAAGGTTGGGTACGAATATATGTTTTTAGCAACCCACTACAGTATTTGTTTTTGGTGGAGCGATACAAGTCGATCGTACGACCGTCATGCGGTCGCACGCAGAGCACATGTTCTAACTAAGCTAAGTGCTGGAGGTTGCATCATTGCGTCTCACTACTACCCTGAGACTCAGCGTACTGCTACGTTTGAAATTGATTTACTACAGTTAAATAAATAATAATATTGTATATATATATATATATATATTCATATATTTTCCACATAGTTGAAATGTAAATTAAAACCGTTTTGTTATATTCTGTACGATGAATCAAAATCGAACGAACAAGCAAGCTAGGCCTAGGTAGCAAAGCCATCCGCGTCAATCCATCCAGGTTCTTTGTTGTTGTTGTTGACATGTATGCACTGGATTGGCACTGTATTTTGATTAATGACAGGCCGATCTATTGAAATGGGAAAAGGTGCTGGATATAATTATTGTGCATAGGCTAGTTAATACGAAATTGAAAATAATAATACTCCAAATCATATCATTCTGCTGCAGAATAGGCATACGGTGCTCAGCTAGGCCGTTTGTAATAATTAATATCAATAGACCTACTCTACATTCGACATCACTTGTTGTAAACTAGGCCTAGGCTGGCCTAAT